AACTAAGCTGTCCAATCCCCTCCGTTAATTCTATTCACATACCCTATTTGAATACTCCTGCCCACTCATTGGGTGGGAATTACAGAGACATGGATAGAAGAACCATATTAAGAACTTTCAGTTCTCCACAAATGATAATAGAGCATCAAAGTACATGAAGCAAAAACTGATAAAACTTGCAGGAGAAATAGATAAAATGACAAATATAGTTGGAAAATTCCAACACTTTTAGCAACTGAGAGAAAATAACTACGGCTGTAGACAACTTGAACAACACTAAGAATTACCTTAACCTATTTAACATTTATACAGTACTCCTTTGGACAACATCAGCATATGCATTTCATTTAAATGCACATGGAATAGGCACCAAGATAAACTGTGTTTGGGGTCAGAAAAGCAGGTCTGAGTAAAAGTTTTAATTGAAATTATGCAACTTAATCGAATATAATAATTATACTAAAAATCAATAATAGGTGTGTGTGTGTGTTGAGGCGTTTACAAGCTCCTGGAAAGATAGAATTAAAAGATAATGGAATTTGTTCATGAACTTTTTGAGATACACACACACACACACACACACACACACACAGATCAGAGAATAGATTGTGAGTGCTGGTGGCGTGTGGGTTAGGCATTGAACTGCGAACTACCAGAAGGTTCAAATCCACTAGCTGCTCTGTGGATGAAAGAGGGACTGCTCTCATAAAGATTTATAATCTCAGTGACCTCATAAAGGTGGCTATAAATTGGAATGGCCTTATAGGTGTGTGTGTGTGTGTGTGTGTGTGTGTGTGTGTGTGTGTGTGTATACATACACACATGAGTGACAGAAGAAAGAGATAGTGATGTTTTCCTTGTTGTGAAAGAAAGCACTTAAGGGGAAAAAAATACAAAACTGCCCTGAGATTTGTGTGTAGTCATATCAAAACCCTTCCCACTTCAGTGGGAATCCCGTTGAACTGGGAGGAGGAATCGCTTTGGTGTCACCATCGTAGATTAAGGTGGAGCTCAGGGGTAGAATTCCAGTGAAGATGAGTGAGTGCAGAGAAGTTCCCTGTTTTCCTGGCAGCCATGACATTGATCGTTTCTCCTGTAAATTGAATTTCTGTGTGAAGGTGGGCCCTCAACTCAAGTGTGGAATAGTCATGGTCGTTCCTAGAGGTTGGGTAATAGGAGTAGTAAGGTGGAACAGCAGAAATAAAATTAAGAGATAAGCAAAGGGTACATTTACCGAGGGAACGATTTTGTAAAGAGCCTTGAAATTCACAGGAGCTCCTCAAGGTGGTTATGTAATTGAACATAATTTATCTGGAATCAAGTGTAATAATAATCAAAACACTCTTGCTCACATGTATCTGAAGGCATATGGAATGAGACATTTGACGGCGTCCTGGGCTGGAATGTGTCATTGATGCTTTGTATTTGGGCTATCGGCTGGAAGCATGTTCCACAGAGCAGACATTTGCACAGTATATTAAATGAGCTTTACTGCATTCATAATGCCCAACAGTGTCGCATGCTCCCTATTTGGCAGAGCAAGGGCTCAACATTTGGAAACTCAGCAGTGCATTAAGTCTTTTAATAATCTTTGTTGACACACAAAGCATATGGCCTTTCAGGACTCACTAGATTGAGTTTTCCTAAAACTAACTTCATAAAATTCAAGCACATTTAAAGTAGAGCACATTTCAGACTGTTAATTCATGAATTTGTGGCAGAAGCAAGTGAAATAATGTTTCTCCTTGACTATAAGGTTATGTATAAGTAACTATTTATATTAATATAATAAAGAGAAAAGGCAAGATTCCCCCTCCACACACACACAAAATTATTTTGTAGTTTATTTGAAAATCTAGAATTCTTGTTAAAATATACAGTCCTGCAAATACCATATATTTACTATGTATTCCTAGCAAGACTTTGAACCAATTCATTCAGATTTGACCTGCTGCTAAAAAGTTGCATTTCCACCCCAGATATACTGAATCCAATGTAACTCTAATTCAGGAAATGCAACTTTCAGGAGTGGGTCAAATCGAAATGAATTGGTTCAAAGCCTTGATTCTCAGTCATGTTTTGAAACCCATCTCAATAAAAAGGTTAAGAAATACAATCCACCTCAGATATCACCTCATCTCAGAACCTTTACTGCCTACATCCTTACCACCTATTATTTCAGTAATGGCAATGATAGGGCTACAAAATAAGCAATCGTAATACTCAGTGGACACAATAATTATCCCAGGTGTAACACGTGATCCCTCCCCACTTGGAGGAGAGTGAAGAAAATCAAAGATACATGGAAACAACCTCCACAGCACTGGGCCCCAAGAACTAGATGGTGCCCGGCTACCACTGCCAACTGTTCTGAAAGAGGAAGGCTGTATACACTTGAGTATAAGCCGGCCCGAATATCAGCCGAGGCACTAATTTTACCACCAAAACTGCACTAAAACTGTGCTGAAAAACTCGGCTTATACACGAATATATGCAGAACCTTCGATGAAGTGTTCAGCGTTTTATCCTTCACCAATGTGTGCACGAAGGTATACCAGTAGCCCTCCACGCGTAACAGGAGCTTAGTGGGAAAAGTGGTGGAAGTGAGACAAATTGTGTAGCTTACTTAACAAGATCATGTCAGTGGCCATTTCTTAGTTGTAACAACAGTACCATGATTATGGAAGATGATGTTTGATCAAGTGGGAGAAACAATATCACACAAAATTCAAAATCATAAAAAAGACTAAGCTTACTGGTGAGATAGACACGGTTGGACCCCCAAGAGTATGCCTTGTAGCACCCTTGGGGTCTGGATCTGAACTCACTCCTGTTACACAATTTTCTGCTAAACAGGTCTACCAGAGGGACAGTAACACTCGCGAGATACCCACTCCTTATAATAAGCACCACTTTCAGGTCAAATGCTCAGCATTGATTCAAGGATGGAGCTCAGTGAGGTTAGGAAAGAAGGAGTGGAAATGAGAAGCATATGGAAGAAGTGGGTTAGATGGAGTTACTGTGACATCGTGAGGATTGCCATCAGTGACCTGACCAAAAATGTCTATGAACAGTTGGCTGTGAAACTGCTTATATGCTCTGTAAACCTCACCCAATTCACACATTACATATATCCAAGCAAAACAAGCCAGCCTTTCCTCCGGTCTCTGCTGCCCTCACTGCTGCCATCTCCGGTCAGAGTGGTCAGGGTGGAGCTGGGCTGAGCACGGCTGGGCTCCCTCGCGTGCCTCGTGCTCAGCTGGTCTGAGGCTATGACCAGAGACGATGGGTTAGAACAGCGAGGCTCACCGCACCTCTTTTACACGCACGTGTCTCTTGTACCCCCACCTGGCCAGCCCAGGCATGTTCGCAGGCCACCCTTGGCATAGTTTATGACATGCATTACCTGATGTAATATTTGACTGACTTTTCTGCACCAAAATAAGGTGGACGAATGCATTGAATTGGAGGAGGGGAAAATACTGACTTCACCACCTTTAATGTTGCTCTATTAAATTTTAGCATCTATTTTATTATCCAGTAAAGTATATAATAGATGTTTCAGTACCTTCCTCTGGCTTACACTGCATCCCTGAATTAGTCTATGATTCAGTGTGGATTAAGGATTACTGGTACACATTAGTGAATAATAAAAAGCTGCACGTTTGTAATTTTACTTAAAAAAAAACTATGTTTTTGTGTGGTACCCTAGATCATATATTGCCACACAATAAAATAATAATAATAATAATAATAATAATAATAATAATAATAAATGGATAAATAAAGGAGATTAGTGGGAAAATTGAAAGTCAGGTAAATCCTGTATTTTCGTCAATAGGATTGTGTCCGTGGCAGTTCCTTAGCTTTAATAAATGTATCCTGATGATGTAAAATCGTGTGTTGTTAGGTGCCTCAAGTCATTTCCAACCACGGCAACCCTGTGTCCACCAGAAGGAAACGTGGACCGGGCCTGTGCCCTCCTCGAGACTGCCCCTATGTTTGAGCCCCTGGCACAGCCGCTGTGCCAGTCCATGTAGGGGACCGACCTGAGGGCGAGCTGAGTGAAGGGTGTACTGACTGCTGTCCAACACTGCAGGAGAACAATGACCAAGAGAGCATGCATGCCTCGGTACCCCACTTCTTCCACACTTCTGCCCTTATGGTCAGTTTGCTGGTGTCTTCGGGAGAGAATAATTTTGATAAAAAAACTACACCAACTGTTGGCATTGAGTTAATCCCAACTAATGGCAACCTCGTATCTGTCAGAGTGGAGCCGTTTTCAGCAACTGTTTTTCCACAGTGGATTACCAGACCTTTCTTCTAGGGTAGCGGTTCTCAAAACTGCGGGTCGTGGCCCCTTTGGGGGGGTCAAATGATCTTTTCACAGGGGTCACCTAAGACCATCGGAAAACGCATCAGTATTTCACAATATATAGTTATATTTTGTTTTGTGATTAATCACTATGCTTTAATTATGTTTAATTTGTAACAATGAAAATACATCCTGAATATCAGATAGTTACATTACGATTCATAACAGTAGCAAAATGACAGTTATGAAGTAGCAATGAAAATAATTTTATGGTCGGGGGTCACCACATGAGGAACTATATCAAAGGGTTGCAGCATTAGGAAGGTTGAGAACCACTGTTTTAGGGTGTCTCTGGGTGGGATTGAACATCCAACCTACCACTTGGAAGTTCAAGCCCAACCCCAAACCCTTTAATTATTTGCATCACCCAAGCACTCCAATTTTAACATTTAAAAAAATATATGATGGTGTGTGTGCTGTAAAATCATGATTCGCACGACTCTAATTTTGGTGTTTTCATGCTGAAGAGCGGACATTGTAGGATCTTCTCTCTTGCCTCAGATGTCAAAGGTGTTTATTTGTTTCTTATCTGATGGGGAAAAGTCCACTACTAATCCTTGGTCACCTACAACCTTCTTCTACTTAAGAGTTTGAGTAAGTAAGAGTTTCTCTTTCACTTTCATAGGTACAAACACAAGTACGCCTTGCCAAGAAAAACTTTGACAAATTGAAGATGGATGTGTGTCAAAAAGTGGATCTTCTTGGAGCGAGCAGATGCAACCTCTTGTCTCACATGTTGGCAACGTATCAGGTAATGAGATGATGCTGGTTACGATGCCTGAAGAATACACCGAGTCCAGTCTCTTTGCACCATCCAGGCAGTTCTGACTCACAGCGACCCTGTAGGATAGGGTCGAGCTGTCCCTGTGGGTTTCTGAGACTGTACCTTTATGGGAGGAGAAAGCTCATCTTTCTCCCATAGACTGGGCATTGGTTCTGGACTGCTGATCTCGCGATTAGCTGCCCCGTGGGTAACCCATCGTGCTGCCAGGGCTCCAGGAGAGTGAGCCTTAGGTGATGAAAAGTGTGTGAAGGATCAGCCGGGACAGGTACCAAGAGAGAGAGCACATTCCAGGCGATGGCAATAGCAGCATAAGCCAAAGAAGGCAGGTTGTGGGAAGTGTGTGTGTGTGTGTGTGTGTTCTACTTTAGCTGGAATCCAGGGCATAGATGGGGAGATACAGGAAAAATGAGTTCAGAGGCAAATTGGACCATATTTTATAGGGTCTCGAAAGCCACAGATGGACACCCCCCGCTGAGGCTGGTGACCCGAACTGGGAGTTCACAACAGCACAGCTTTACTGTCTCTCTTTACAGACCACTCTGCTTTATTTTTGGGAGAAAACCTCTCACACCATGGCAGCCATCCACGAGAGCTTCAGAGGTTATCAACCCTATGAATTCACTACATTAAAGGTAGGAGGTCTTTAGAAAGTCTTACGAAAAGTAAAGTGTATCACATGCAATGTCTGTGGCTACAAGCATCATCATTCCAAAGGACTCCAATGGTCAAAGAAAGAAATGTAGAGTTGTATTTCCATATTCAATACAGTGATGGTCCACTACAATCCAAAAAACTGCAGGTCCAATCTTGGGATATGTCTTTCCCGAAAGGTGAAGTTTTGTGATTGGTCCCTGCTCTTTAAAATCGTTACTTGGCATTTCCAAAGAGGAGGTTGCACAAGTCCAGTATACTTAGTTACTTTTTAATTATTCAATCCAAGTATACCTGCTTGAGAAAGTCCCCTTCTCCTTCTTACCTCTGACAAAGACTGTTTTACTCTGAGAGTGGCGATCAACGTAAGATTGGATTTTTCTATAACACCGAAGTCATGCTTTTTAACTGAAAAGCCATCTCTCACGTCAATTGCCGAATTAAAAGGAGCCAGATGTACAATGCCTCATTCTCAACACTGCAACTGAAAGTGGAATAATTTTCCTCCCCAATAGGCGCTGGGGGTGGGTGCATATCAAGATAAGGAAGTGATGTCGGGTCCAAAAGGGTTTTGAGAATTGAGAGAGCAGTGGGTGTTTGCTGCCAGGTCATGCCTGTGAAAGAAAGGGCCCGACAAGAAGCCGTTCGCGTTCACCTTGAAATCACCTTGCTTCTAGTTTTCAGATCATTTGTAGCTCATTCCCTTGCTTTATGAAGCTTTAAGCTTTTGGGTTTTTTGTTTTGTCTTGTTGTTCTGACACTCTTTTATTTTTGATATGTTTGGAATATCAGGGCATCTACCAAAAAACTAAGGAACCCTTGTATACATTGCCACTGTTAGATAAAGGTCCTCAGAGGAACCCAGAGCAACCCCACTCACTTTGTGACGCCTCTTCCCTGACACCTGGCAGGACACCTGGCCACTGAGCTCCTCTCTCTTAACCCCCCTTGCCCCACGTTGGTCACTGGCCTGTTAGCTGGTGCTTGCCGTGTGATGAATACCCTCACACTGTGTACTTCTTGGCTCTGGCAATAGACCCTTGAGAAGAAGGACCTCCTATTTCTCATGTACTCTGCCTGTCCGGCCAAGAGTTGTGCACACAGTGAGTCCTGCCTGCCCCTCCACACTGTTGTTGTTAGAGACAGCGTTCCGCCCTATGATTAACTGCTGCTCTCGGCACCTGCAGAAACAGCCATCCTGAGCAAGGCTAAAAGGATCACAACTCAGGCGATCCAAATGCTTGCAGGAGCCTGAGCAGAATCCCTGAGGTTACTCTTGGACAAGGCAGAGTTCTAGGTTCTCAGGCATGAATATGCATTGATTTGATTTTATAATAGAAATACAGTTTTAAAGCTTAACCTGCTGTCTTTTGAAAGATGATTGTCTGCATAATAATTGACCGGGAGGAAGGAGAAATGATGTCTTTGTAGATACAAGTCAAAAGAACTTCAGGTTGGGTTAGTTTCATATTCAGAATAATATAAAATCTTGGGGTTGACAGTGTTCCACGAACCTGTGTCTCTGGCCTCCTGTGCTGAGGAAAATCGGGCTCCTTCCTTTTTGCCGTGATGTGTGTCATGTGGAGAGACTCAAACTGATGATATTTGAGATTTCTGGGCAAGGAATTTAGTGATGGTTTGATGGCAGTTGTTGGGACAGAATTATAAAGACTTTAAGCTTGTGACTATCCATTGCCTTTCACATCTCTGAGTTGTTCTTAAATCTTAGCTTTACTTGTCCTTAAAGCTGAGGAGGACTGCTAAGTCCTGTGATGTCTTAGTCAGTAGGACTAATATTACTTAGGACAATATAAAGAATGCGAAGTGTCCACAAACTACCCAAATAGACTATGCTTTTATTGCCTTTGTAGAACGCTGTTTCTTTAGGCTTTCAATTATGACATCTTCTATTAGAAATTCCCTGCTAATTTCCTTCTGTGGACTTAAAACTCTTGTATATTAAAATGTTGTGATGACACAAATCATTTAGGACATCACTTATGTTATATCCATGAAATTTGACGATGAGAATCTTTGATACATTATTGTATTATGATCAAGCATGAGGATACGACTTGATTTCCACCCTTCTTGTGTGTGTGTATTCTACATATGTATGTATATATAGTATTGATAGTATATATATAGTATTTATTTGTATTTATAAGATCTTAGTTCAAGCATGTCATCTTTCAATAGATGTGATTTTCTTCTGAAGTGGCACTGTGTATTAGCAATAGATATTTAAAGTTATAAGTAAATATTATCACAATTAATTTGCTCTCCCCCTTCAGTGCCTTTGGGACCCTGACTGGAAAGGAAACATTGTCTTTGGAGAGGTTTGCCAAGCTCTGTTAATGAAAAGCAGCCCGGTTGTTTGCTTTGCTTCAGGGTATATTCTAAGTGTGTTAGTAATTGTGCCATTGCAGCTGTATTTCCTGACTGTTAGTTTTATGCTCGATGAAGGATGATAATTAATGTGTTAAACACTCGGTGCATCCTGTTTGAAGGGAAGAGTCTTTTGCTGCAGAATTACAGGGTTATAACTGATGCCCCAGAAGTTCAAAGTTTTACTTTTATGAACCTTTCCTTAGAAAATGTGTAGGAGCTCTTTCCCAAAACAATTTTATTGTAAAACTAAATTGAGTCTCTATCTATATGACTTGAAGCACATCTGAGTGAAACCTTGTGGCCTGTTGTAATATGTGATGGTATTTTATATGACAACGGCTACTACTTTTATAACCAGGCCAAATACGATTATATTGATTTGTCCCTTAGTGAGATATACCTTTATAATTTTAGTTTCCAAAGAAATCGGATAGGTTTTTATATCATTTTGACTTTATGGGAACTCAGTCTCAAAATTTAATATTGCCAAAAAAACATTTTCAGCTACATCAGTGTAAAGTAGCTCAAATCAAAAGCAAGGAGACTATTATATGTGAAGTGATTTCCAATTAAAAAAACAATAATTTCAAACAATAAATATTTATCCAGTCATTAAAATATTACTGGACACCTGTTTTGCATGAACTGCCATTCATGTAAGGAGCCGTGGTGTTGCCGTGGGTTAGACATTGAGCTGCTGAGCACAGGTCAGCCGTTAAACCACCAGTCACTGCACAGGAGAAGCCAAGGCTGTCTGCTCCCGAGCACAGTCACGGCTCGGAAATTCCAGGGTCGCTAGGAGTTGGAACTGACTTGATGGCAGCGGGCTTGGGGTTCTCCTTGTATCATTCGTGTGTCAAATGTATATTCACCCCCTATCGTCCGGGAATATCCTTTACATTAGGGTAAGGATTATCAAGCAATGGAGACAGGAATGGAATATCAAATTGACCATGTTTTAAAAGCACTCACTTTTTTAGAGAGAATCATTGTTTAGACTATCTGAGTTTAAAGCTTTAAAAAAGGAAACAAATAAATAAAATTCCACTTGTTAGGGAAGCAGGACCCCCCCCC